TAGACACTTTTCCAAAGAAGATATACAGACAGCCAATAGACCCATAAAAAGATACCCAACATCACTCATCATCAGGGAAATGCAAATCAAAACCAATGAGATATCACCTCATACCTGTCAGAATGACTAAAATGAACAGATGAAACAACAAATGTTGGTGAGGGTGTGGAGAAAGGGGAACCTCTTGAACTGTTGGTGGCAATGCAAACTGGTGCAGCCACTCTGGAAAATAGTATGGAGGTTCCTCAGAAAGTTAAAAATAAAACTACTCTATGATTCAGCAACTGCACTGTTAGGAATTTACCCAAAGAATACAAAAGTACTAATTCAAAGAGATACATGCACCCAGATATTTATATTTATATCTATAAATATAGATATTTATAGAATGATAGAAGCATTATCGACAATAACCAAATTATGGAAACAACCGAAGTGTCCATCGACTGATGAATGGATAAAGAAGTGGTGTATGTATATACAATGGAGTATTACTCAGACATAAAAAAGAACGAAATCTTGCTATTTGGGAACAAAATCTTGCTATTTGGGACAATGGAGGGAGATAGAGCATTATGTTAAGCAAAATAAGTCAGTCAGAGAAAGAGAAATACCATATGATTTCACTCAATATGTGGAATTTAAGAAACAAAACAAACAAGCAAAAGAGGAAAAAAGAGGGAGGGTAAACCAAGAAACAGACTCTTAGCTATAGAGAACAAGCTGATGGCCACCAGAGGGGAGGTGGGTGGGGGGAACGGGTTAAACAGGTGATGGGGATTAAGGAATGCACCTGTCATGATGAGCACAGGGTGATGCATGGAAGTGCTGAATCACCATATTGTACACCTGAAACTAATATTACACTGCATGTTAACTCACTAAAATTTAAAGAAAAACTTAAAAAAAAAAAGAAAGAAAGAAAGAGTCACTTCCAACCTATCCAACCAATCTGGATAAGGTAAAAAAAAAAAATCATAGTTTTTAAAAATCTGTCAGAGATATGAGGATATATACAAACTTGAATAAATTCTAATAAGTTACAAGATCTTCCTGGAAGAGAGAAAAAAAATCCATGGCTGCATATGCCTGCCAGAGTGGCCTGTGGAAGATAAATCTACCGTAGATGGAGGTATGGAGAAATAAGCCAAATCTTTAATGAGTTTTAAATGGCTACATGAAGACTGGGGTGACAGACCAGAATTCCAAGGAGCCCTCGGTGTTAGACTGAGCCTGCATCCATCCACCAAACTTTCTCATCGTCTTTGCCAAGGTGCACAGGTTGTACAAAAAGGTAGGATGTTAGGAGAGCTGAGAGAAATCCCTTAGACAGAGTCCCTACCAAATGCAAGAAATCCACTTCCTAAGATGGGAAGCAGGACAGAAGAGTGGAGAAAAAGCCCTTTGAGGCATTCAGGTACTCCTGAAAGGGCTAAGGTTTCTTCCCTCTGAAGGCTGGGGCAGAGCAGTTGGGCAAAGAAAGGTCTCCCATGGCTCAGAAGCTTAGGCATAAACAAGACACAGAGCAGTCCCCATGGGACTTTCTGGGATAATGGCAACGTTCTACATGCATCTTGTTTTGGGTGATGATTACATGAGTATATAAAGTACCAAAATTCATTGCACTGAACATGTGGGAACTTTATGTTTTAAAGTATACCTCAATTTGATAATCATTTTTAAAAAAGAATCTAATGTGAAAAACAAAAAGTAATGTATTCAGTCACCTCCCTGGAAAAGCCCTGATGTTCGACTATGGAATCTGGTCTCTCCCTCTGAGAGTGGATAAGTGGAAGCCAGCCGACTCTAAGGCTCATTGTGTTGATACAGTTGGAGAGGCTGTGGCTGGTCTCAGAGTTTTATAGGAACTTTTAACAGAATTTTGTCTGCAGGCTGAGGGGATATGCCCACCAATAAATCTACAGGAACACTGGTGAAGGTGAGAAGAATTAAAGACACAGGATTCCAACAATGAATAGAAATGATGGAAAACCTGCCTTTTCATCTTGAGGGATGGTTATTCTAGAGCTTCAATCTGTCTAAACGCTCTAATGTCCCATTTTTCCTGCTCTTTCCCCCTGAAAACACTCCCATACTACTATGAAGAAAAAAAAGCTGTCTTCATGCTAATGAAGCGGAAGAGAAAATGCCTTCCCTCCTCTGACAGAGTATACTCTGAGCCTTGTGACAGGGAGCCTTGCTGGTGCCCCAGGGTGGCATGTCACTTTTACAGCCCTTGCTTTCATAATATAATTATGGCTGGATAAAAGAAGGAAATTAAATCCTTGACGACTGGATGTCCCAGGAAAGATTGAGCAGAGTTAGCATGGCCAAACACAGAGAGGGCCCAGTCCCCTGTCAGAGCAGTGGCATCCAACTTCTTTTCTCCACCAACCTGAGTTACGGCAGCAACATGGCCTAGTGGAATGATTGTAATACCTAAATAGAATAATAACAATATCTAACTTGAATGGAGAGATGAGTATGTACCAGCCACTAAGCTAAGTCCTGCCTATTTACTCCCTTGGCTTTTATAGCATCTTTGAGATAAAGTACTATGATCATCACCATTTTACAAATGGGAAAATGAGAAGCTACCACAACCTATTCAATAGTGGAGCCCTGAATTTGAAAAGGGGCAGTATGACAGAACTCACCACCTGTAAGTCCTTCTACATGAGACACTATTCTGATTCCTCAAGTAATGGGAATAGGCAGATTCTGGAATTTGAAAGCCCGGAGTTCAAATCCTGATTTTATGTATACTGACGATAGGCACAGTTAACCTTTCTAAGGTTCTGTTTCATCCATAAAATACAGGTAACATAAGTGACTTAAAAGTTATTGTGAGGATTCTAGACAGGTCATATGAAGAGCCTGGCCCCTAGTAGGTGCTCAACAAGTGGTAGTTATTGCTGGTGATAATAAATCATATTACCTCTTTAATATTCATTTCTGATCTCATATAAATACAAATTGCGTGTATGTATTTATGTGTGCATGTATCTATGCAAAGTATACCTAAAAGCACTGATACGGATAGAAAAGGAAAAATGAAGGACAGAATAAAAGTTGTCCTTCATGATTATATACATACACACATATACACACATTTTTTCCTAATTTCTTCTCTAGAGAAGAACATAGCAACCTAACATTTTAATTAAGGTGTGCAACTAAGGGGACTATTGCCCTGGAGCATACAGCATTCGTAAGAACTGAAAGGGTAAACATTTCTACTTGCAAACACTGAAGTATCATGGCATACTAGAAATATCACAGGTCTTAAAACCACTCAGATTTCAGTTGAAATCTTTATTTTAATAATTTATGGCTATGTGACCTAGACCATGAAAGGTGATTTACCTTCTAAAGCTGCAGTTTCTCTCATCTATAAAATGAACATAATTACACCTGGTAGTTTGTGTTAACGGTTATAATACGTATAAGACACCTGGTCTCTCTACTAGATGCCCTATAAATGGTAGCTCAATTGTAATCACTATTGTGCCTTTATATCCTCTATCATAGTCATACCAGAAGTCAACAACAACTTCCATTTGTTTTCCATAAATCTTATAGTGACATCTTATTATAATTACATATCAATTACTAGAGTCACTCCAGAATTTTGCCCAAAGACAGGGCTTAAAAATTCATTAATTCTAAAGCTTTCCTTGATTAGTTACAAAAAGAATTAAGTTGGAAATAATCTCTTTTTAAGTCAGTGGAAGTGTTTCATTAATTTTTATTGCAAATTAACTTATGGTTTTAATTAATTATATATGTTTTAAATTTTTAATTAGACTTTAATTAAAATTATTTAAAGTCTAGAAGGAACTGTTTTTCTCTGTATTTTAATCAAATTATTTTAGGCAATAGGATGGCTGGCTCAAAGACTGACAATTGGTCTCTTTTCTGCATGTGGCTTTTAAAACATATATACATCTCTCTCTCTCTCTCTCTCTCTCTCACACACACACAGACACACACACACACACACACACACACACACACACACACACACACACACATTTATAATCAAACCCAAATAAAGAGGCAAAGTTTGGAGGAAATCAGAGACAGCTTTAACAGTAAGGAAAAAAGTCAAGAGAGCCACAGAATATGAAAACAAGAGAGAAACAGGGTCAAGTGAGAGTTGCCCAGGAAAGATACAAAACATCATCTTTGAAAGGGTGTTGTGGGCACTCATTACATAATATCTGCAGAACTGTTTTGGTCTCCTGAGAGATGCGCACTCTATCAATACAAGGTATTATGGTTTCTGTCTTTATAACCGAGAGATTGATATTCTTTGGTAAGATTCCATATCCAGCATAGAAGGAACACAATTAGAAGTCTGAAATAGCACTTTTCCTTTTTTCTTCAAAACAAAGTCTCCTTCCAGTGTGTGACCTTCCATGCAAAACAGCTCATTTTTAAAGCTTAGTTCTAGTCTTTTAAAGATTCTTGGTTACAAGCCATGGGAAAGGATATCATGTGACAGAGGCACAGTCCTTTCTAAGTGACAGGGGAAATGTCCTGCTACAATCACCCTTAGTGAGGAGAATACAACACCATTTGGTAGTCAGAAAACTTTTAATCATACTAAAACACAGAGGATACCATGCTCTCTTTTTTGACTTCTTTCACTTTTCCTTGTGAAAATATTTCAAGGTGACAATGAATGGATATAGTAGTTAAATTCCTAAGAAGGTTTAAAAAGCATGCTGTAGGAGTAAATATTCACTACAGTGAGAAGAGAAGAGAAGAGAAGAGAAGAGAAGAGAAGAGAAGAGAAGAGAAGAGAAGAGAAGAGAAGAGAAGAGAAGAAAAAAAAGGCTGACTACAGCAAGGAGAGTGTTTTTTTCTGTCCTGCTATCACTGATTATTGAAGTTGTGTTCATGTTCAGGTTGCTAAAGGGTAGGAGACATCATGTTATGAATATTATAATTAGATTATACAATACACAAGTGGTTTGAAATATTAAGTCACTTACCATGTCAGTAGAAGAAACAGTTGGCCAATCCTCTGGAGCCGGTGTAGTGTCATTAGATATTGAGATATTAACTGTAAGAAAAAGACAATCTTTTACCATAAAAATGACCTAAATTCATAACTCAAAATCTAAAAAAGCTGGGCCAGGCACGAAAAATGTCTTCAACACCACCATAAAGCACAATGAATTTTTCTTTATTATAATTGTATTCACCTTTCACCTAGATAAAATTAGCAAAGATTCAGACACATCTGTTGTACTTTAATCTGAAAAGAAACAATGGCAAACATTTAAGGAAATGGTATTACAATTTGTTTCAGGTTTCAAAAAAAAAAAAAGAAAAAGAAAACTTCTCCATTATTAAAAAAGCATTCACTGTATTTTGTCTGGTGGAAAAATGGATGTTAGTAAGTGAGTAAGTTGATCACGGGCTTCATGTACAGTCAAATCTCACAAGTAGATTTTCACTGGTTAAGAAGTAACTAATTTGGGATTTTTGAAAATCTGGACTGCATATGAGAGAGTATATCTTTGCAATATGTGGGAAAACAAAAAGTCTTTCAAACACATAATAAACTATATAAATATAATGGTAATAAATGTTTAATCTAATTTTTAAAATTATTATCACAAAATTTGCCATGATTTGTAAATTTATTAAGAGGTTGCTTTTTGAGGAATGTGACTTATTTATTAAACCAACTCTCTTCCTGGAAATATTTCATTATTTTAAAATTTTTGAAACTAAAATTAAAACATATTATTTAAGGTGTTCTATAATTAAAACTTTTTATCAAATAAGCCTTTTTCCTATTGCATGAGTTTTTTGTTTTGTTTTTTTAAAGTTTATTTATTTATTTTGAGAGAAAGAGTGTGAGTGGGGGAGGGACAGAGAGAAAGGGAGGGAGAGAGAGAGAATCCCAAGCAGGGTCCCAGTAAGGAGCCTGACACAGGGCTTGAACTCAGGAACCATGAGATCATGACCTGAGCTGAAACCAAGCATCTGATGCTTAACTGACTGAGCTATCCAGGAACTCTGATTGTTTTGTTTTGGTTTTTGTTTAAAATGTTTGTTTATTTATTTTGAGAGAGAGTAGGGAGGGGCAGAGAGAGAGAGAGAGTGAGAGTGAGAGAGAGAGAGAGAGAGAGAGAGAGAGAGAGAGAGAATCTCAAACAGGCTCCGTGCCCAGTGCAGAGCCTGATGCAGGGCTCAACCCTAAGAACTGTGAGATCATGGCCTGAGCCAAAATCAAGAGTCGGATACTTAACTGACTGAGCATCCAGGTGCCCCTGAAGTTTTATGTATTATAAAATCGTTACTGAGAGAATATCCCTAATTTATGGAGATATTGTAAAATGACATTTAGGTTTTTGTCTTTGAGCATCACATTTAACATCCAAACTACTATTATTTGGTCCCCTCTTGCCTGCCCCCTCCTGCCCCCAAGCCCCTAGACTATCCTTTTAGTTTGCCGTATTTTAGTTCCTACCAACATAAGCTCTTAACGAGAAACAAACAGATTTGGTTGTTGAAATTTAGAATATAAGATCCATAACAGAAAGGGCATGTCTTGTTCACTGCTTTTTCCCAGAATCTGCCTAGTCCAGCACTAACAGGAACTCAAAAATATTTATTTATTATTCAACCTTAAAAAAAAAAAAAAAAAAAAAGGAAATCCTGCCATTTGCAAAAATATGGATGAACCTGGAAGACATTATGCTAAGTGAAATAAGCCAGCCAAAGACAAATACTGTATGGTGTCAGTTATAGGTAGAAGCTAAAAAAAATAAAAGGTAAATACAACTCATAGAAAGAGAGAGAGTAAAATGGTGGTTGCCAGGGGCTGGGGGCTGGAGGGGGTGGTGGATGGGGAAATAGAAAGAGGTCAGTAAAAGGATACAAACTTCTAGTTATAAGAAGAATAAGGTCTGAGGATCTAAATAAAATAAAATAATAAAATAAAGTATAATAATAAAATAAAATGAAGTAAAATAAAATAATAAAATAAAATAAAAATGAGAGGTGATGGATGTATTAGTTAACTTTGGTGGGAATCCTTTCATAATGTATACATATATGAAATCATCATTTGTACACTTTAAATACATTATACTTTTGTCAACTATACCTCAATAAAATGAAAATATCTTTTAATGTCAATAAATGAGGCTAGAATAGGGAACATTTAATGACTCCAAATGAATGAGGGCAGATAAAGGCAAAAGAAATGAAATAATGAAAACAAATAAAAGGGAGAAAATATTTAGCTAGAGCCCTAGTCTTCGTCAATGTTGGAATCCATTCTGATCTTTGAAGGTTCTAGAATTGTTAAACTTTTAAAAAATTTTTTTTTCAACGTTTATTTATTTTTTTTGGGGGGGGGGGACAGAGAGAGACAGAGCATGAACGGGGGAGGGGCAGAGAGAGAGGGAGACACAGAATCAGAAACAGGCTCCAGGCTCTGAGCCATCAGCCCAGAGCCTGATGCGGGGCTCGAACTCACGGACCGCGAGATCGTGACCTGGCTGAAGTCGGACGCTCAACCGACTGCGCCACCCAGGCGCCCCTAGAATTGTTAAACTTTTAATCTACTGCTAGGTCATCCCTATTTCCTTGTAAAACACACACGCAACCTGTTTTCTTATTCTGTTTCAGCACAGGTCACAGAAAGAATCAAAATAGGCTAAAGGATGTGTGGCCCAAACAATAAAACCAAACATGAGTTCATTCCCAAAAGAAAGAAGATGTTAGTACATTTTTGTTAACAAAACCTAGATTTTTAGCACTATTTTGTTCTAAAAAGCCTACAGTACATTTTCTTACATTATTCCATTTGCTCATTTAAAAACAAGCTATACTTTTATACCTGCTTTATGTTGAATGGGACTCTGAAACAAGATATGCCAGGTTTCTTGCCCAGGACTGTAGAAGAGTCAACCAGAAGTAGAACTGATACCAAAATCTTGTTCAGCATTCTTTCTTTTCCTAGCCAGCATTTGATTTTTGTGGTAACAGAATTCAAGGTGGGATAATACTCTCCAATGTTAGATGATGTGAATTTCAACCGCCCCCCCCCCCACACCCCGAAATGTGTCTGGTCTGACACACTGGTCTGAGTGTTCGGAAGAAAGCAGTTTATGTGAAATCACAGGCACTATTTAGATGGTGTCTGGGAAACTCCTCTTCCTGAGCAAGATTCTTTGATGCAATTTTATGAGCTTCCTGTCATAAGAGAGTGAAGGTCTTTGTACAACAGACTTTTCCACATAAAAACAAGGAGTAAGAGTGAGGGAGAAAGATATCCAAGATATCCTCCTTTTTTGTGAGATGAATGACATAATAAAGACCACCAGTGAACTAAACCAGGATTCCAATCTGAACTTCTAGGGACTACTTTCAAGTTCTAGATACACATCGATTCTGCTCACTAAATTCCTTTTATCTTTTCAGTTTTCCTCTGAGACAAGCTATTAAAGCATGCCTCTCAAAGTCCCAGAGACTACTATCAAAAGGACAATAAAAAGTATACACCTTTCCAACTTATTTTAGTAGGTAGCTGCTTCAAGAAAAGGACTTCAAAATAAATATGTAAACAAGCATTTCCAAAAATACATGTTAACAGAATATAGGAGAGTCCATACATAAGACTAAAAGTAAATTTCTTTAAGCTCACAGAGGAGAGAATTATCAATTTCAATTGGCTTCTGTGAGAGCCACTGTTCACCATTTGGATCAAGATACATACAATACAAGTATTTTGGCAACCAAGTGCAGAATGATCTATGCATATAGAATTCTTAATATCCTTAATCAGGATTCTGAAAAGGTCAAATAGAAAATCATAAACACACTGCACTTTGTCTGTCTTCACTATTTGCTCAGCACCATGGCTTATGCAGCAAAGAAACTCTTTGCCCTAGGAATCTGGCTAAGTTAGAATTAGCCAATTGTCACTGGGACAGTCTGTGTCCCACACTTGGTTTCAGGGAGTTTTCACAGGTTGGTCGTTTTATGTTCCTTGGATTTTCACTTCTTGATCCTTCTTCCTGTGTATCAAATTCTAGCTGATCCTCTGGAACAGGGGAAATGAACATCATTAGTAATAGACATTTAAAAATGTGCCTGTGAGTGTTCCATCTTAAGCTGGCTTTTTTTTTCCCCCTGTATGTTTAATGAGAGGTCTACGGAAAGATCAGGCTACAGGATACAAGCAGGAAAAAAAGGTGACATCCACATGTCAGTGTTAGTATACCTCCTGCATAAGAAATTTCAATTGCACCTGTAAGGTTGTCCTTCTTTATCCTCCAGTACCTCGCCCCAGGAACTACCCCATGACTCCTCTGCTTTACATCAGGAATATATACAAAGGCTACACAGTAAACTATGAGTAAGAAATAACCACCAAGGCTCAAAAGATCTGTCTGCCTTCATGCACCACCACATCACAAGTTAAGAGAAAGGAATGCTAAGAAAACTGGCCTAGAACTCTGGCTCCACCACATTCTGGAACAAACTGTCCCCAAACCACCTCACCGCATAATCTTAATAAGTCACCTCACTCTCTTGACCACAGGCCCCTCATTTGTGGAGGTGGACTTGAAACCATTTATCTCATAAGGTTACCTTGCAGGTTAAATAAGACAATGTAGGAAAAACTGTTAGCACAATAGCAGGTAAAACTGAAATAGATGGTTACTAAGGAGACTATCAGCTTTATGACCTGAAGAAAGCAAAATTTCACCCCTGGAAAAAAGTCTGCTACTTCACAAGGTTTGTGATGACTGAATACATATATACTATAATAACAGATATTGAAATACACTTTATTAAAATCCTTAGTAAAATGTATGGCACTTGGATGGTGCTTAATAAATATTAGCCAAATCTGAATCTACACCCTCAACATAGCTTCTTAGGATTAATGTAGAACTGGTTAGCTTGCTCTCAGCAAGAAAAAATGCAAGAGTATTCTCTACAATAATGAAATTTTAATGTTTTATTCATTCTACTCAAGCAACATCTTGAGGAAACTGAGTAACTAGAAAACAGATATAGAATAAAACTGAGTAA